CTTTTTGATAATGAATGCAACACCATTCCTTTTCAATTTTTCATTCCTTGCATAGTAAACCATGTGGTTTTCAGATTCAAAATGGCCAATACTAGTCCATTTCAGCTCATTAATGCCTAAGATATTGATGTTGATGCGTTCCATTTCATTTTTGACAACTTCCAATATAGGACTGTGTATATTGGATACGAATTGGGCTGCGAACCTTAAGGTCAGCGGTTTGAAACTACCAGCCGCTCCGCGGGAGAAAGTTGAGGCTTTCTACTCCTGTAAGGATTTACACCCTCGGAAACCCTGTACAGGGTCGCTATGGGTTGGAACCGACTTGACGGCACTTAACAACAGCAATAACAATATTGGATAATTAGTATCAGGTTTCTTTCCCCCTGGAGACTTAAAGCTTAATCTGGTCCCTAAATAAGGGTATCATCTTGTCATTTAACTCTATACAGGGTTTCTATGAGTCAAAATGGACCGACAGCAGTTCACTAGCACTCACTGCCAGTTCTGGGCTCCTAGCGTCTGTGGCCTGGGGTCGGCATGGGTGTCATTGGGGAAACCTGGAGACAGCGTTAATGAAAAACAACAACAACGACAACTGTTTCAGGACATTTGATATCTGAAGGCATGTGAAAAATAGAACTCCATGTATCTGAAATAAGCACTGGGCTGTTGAAAAGGGTATTTCAGCAAATTGTAATCTATTTTGGCTTTAAAATGAGGTTTTTTTTTTTTAAAGGGAAAAAAATGTTTGTATTTCTTAAAGAAGTGGACTTCTTATATAAAGATTTTTTGAATGCCTGAAGGATTAGTTTAAAAGCCTCTTTTAGAAACAACTCCTCTTATATGACTATTTGAGAAGGGATCATATACACTGAATTTAATAAGGTTAATGTAAAAAGATTGTTAGGTATTGTGGCAGCATGTTTCTTATAAAAGTAGCTTATATTCTCTCTCCACTGGGGTTAGACTCTGAAAGCCTACTACAAAATGAAAGCCACATTACAAAATTCAATTTTCAAGCAAGTTTGAAACACCTCCAGTTTGAAAGCATAAGCCATGTAAAGAAAAGGGGAATAAATAGTTTATTCCTCCTGGAGTTTACTTCCTCCTGGAGTGAACTCCTGCTGTGGTGCTGTAGGATCAGCACTGGACTGAGAACCACAAAGTTGGCAGTTTCAACCTACTAGGTGCTATGAACCTCAGAAACCTATACAGGGTTGCATGAGTCAGAACCAACTTGACAGTGAACCATTACGTATTTCATCCACTTAGTTATGACTGCAAGCCTCCTTTTGCTCTAGCTCACAAGCTTTTTTTTTAAATGTTTTATTGTGAATTATATGATAGTTTACATGTGAGAACTTTAGTTTTATATTCATTCCATCGTATATCATTTCATTGCCATGGTTCCAATCCCATTCATGCATCATCAGTCGACCAAAGGGTATATCCTAGAAACCCGCCCCCTACCTTTCCCTCTCCCCTGCCAGTCTTCGGCCCACAGTCCTTCTCCCTCTCTGGATCCAAAGTCCCTGGCCGCTTCATCACTCCACGTCATCATCTCTGTCTCCATCTCAGGGATCTCTGGTTCTCTGGGTAGGGTCCCGCTCTCGGCTCTTCTCCGTTGATGGTCTTAGAGACCTCCATTCCTAGACTGGAGAAATAATCGCTCCCTTCCTTGCTATAAAACATCTACCTTTGGACTTCCAACCCTTATAATCAATCCTGATAACCATTATTCACTACAGTATCACAAGTTACCCATCTGTATTTCATTTCATCAGCTCCGCCTAGACAGATTGGATAGTACTCACTGGAGATTCTGCCTTCCTCCATGCCCCCTAGCTCTAGGTTCCCTCTTGAAAGCTTGTAAGCCAGTCACTTCTTGCCTTTGTAGTCCCCCCCTCCCCATTTGGGTATCCAATGTTCAAGTTGCCCATCTCTGCCCACTCTGTGTGTGTAGGGGGTGGGAATATTTCTTGCTGTAAGGATTTGTTCCTTCTTTTGAGTCACTGCATTTGTAGGTATAGGTCAAGTTCATCAGATTGTATCAGCTCACTCTTTTTTTTCCTCTTCTTTCCTTCTCCTGGTTGAGCTCTGATCATCTAGTCATCTGGTCCAGGTCACGTGGGTATTATCTGCAAGTGTGGGTGTTCTTGTGCCCATGCCCTTTCTTCCCATCAGCTGGTAGCTCCACTCTCCACTCGAGTCCTCCGTGGCCACGCCACTAACTCTGGGCCCAAGAGTCCCCAGATCTCCTCTCACTGCTTGCCAAGCAGGTCCCCAACTGGTCCACAAGCTCACAAGCTTTTGGTAAGCATTCCTGCTAAATACTTGAAAGTTCATGTCCCACTAAATATTTCTCTTACTGAGTTTCAAATGCTGCATTTGTACTATAAGAGATTTTACAGGGATGCTATTGGTAAGTTTGTTATATCTTTATATCTAAGCTTGTGGCAGCAAATATCACATCTTTCTTTCTCTCTCATATACACAAAGTTTTGCAAGGCTCAATAGGTATGACTGTTGGAAGGAGATTATGGATTTTCAACTTGCCATTGTCTGCTTCCATTCTGTATCCAGTTTCCCTGCCGCCGTGTCCGCTATCCAAGAGTTTTCTGCCAGACTTGGGAAAAACATCTTTTTAAAAGAACTCATTGATCTTCTTGGTGAATCCCTTCTGCTCAGGGATACTAATTCAGACAATACGAGTCAGGCTTGGGGAAAGACATTGGGTGATACTGAGGTGGTGAATTTTCTTACTCTTACCTGTTCTGTGCCATTGATTGATTCCAACTCAAAGGGAGCCTGTGTTGTTGTTATTAAGTGCTATTGAATCAATTCAGACTCATAGTAACCCTGTATAGGATTTCTTAGGAGCGGCTGGTGAGCTTGAACCTCCAACTTTGCAGTCTAGTGCATTAAGCCACAGTACTACACCGAGACTCCATAGAAAGCCTATTGTTGTTAGGTGCCATCAAGTCGGTACCAACTCATAGCGACCTTATGCACAGCAGAACAAAACACTGCCCAATCCTGGGCCAACCTCACTACTGTTGCCATGCTTGAGTCCATCAATGCTGCCACTTGGCCAATACATCTAATTGGGGTCTTCCTCTTTTTCTCTGACTCTCCACCTTACCAAACATAATAGCCTTCTCCAGTGACTGGTCCCTCCTGACAATATGTCCGAAGTATGAGAGATGAAGCTTGGCCATCTTGGCCTCCAAGGAGCACTCTGGCTGCACTTCTTCCAAAATGAATCTATTGGTTCTTTTGGCAGTCCATGGCACTTTCAATATTCTCCTCCAACACCATAACTCAAAGGCATCAATTCTTCTATGGTCTCCCTTATTCACTTCCTTATTCACATGCAGCTTACACATGCATATGAGGTTATTGAAAATAACATGGTTTGGGTCAGGTGCACCTTAGTCCTCAAGCCGACATCTTTGCTCTTCAACAGTTTAAAAAGGTCTTGTGCAGCAAATTTGCCTAATGCAGCACATTGTTTGATTTCTTGACTGCTGCTTCTGTGAGTGTTGATAGTTGATCCAAGAAGAATGAAGTCCTTCACAACTTCAATCTTTTCTCCATTGATAAGAATGTTGTTTATTGGTCCAGTGGTAAGGATTTTTGTTTTCTTTACAGGTAAACATCTTTCTGATATTCTCTGCTGTCAGCTAAGATCCATCAGACATCAGCAGTGATTTCCCTTGTTCCATGGCCTTTTCTGAATCTGGCTTGAACCCCATAGCAGTTCCTAGCCTGTAATCTTTATGGAAGCAGATCACCAGAACTTTTTTTCCCTTGGAATAGCTGGGTGGACTTGACCTACCAACCTTGGGGTTAGCAGCTGAGCACTCAAGCACTGTACCACCAGTGAGTTGTTCTAAGCCTAATGTACCCATATGTACACATAATTATTTAAATTTCATTCTTTCCGGTAAATTTGGAGAACACAGTTTTCAACAAAGATAATCTAACTACTTAGTTCCTCTTTTCCTTTCCTTCCTATTTATTTCCCCATCTTTTGAGTCCCACTAGATTATATTTGCTAATGTATGTTTAAAGATAGCTGTGCTCACTGTATGGTTGGGGCCTCTTTCTGTGAATGAAGTGACCTAACATTGCGGTTTTTAGTTTTAATGTGATACTTCTCAGATTACTTGCCTATTTGTGACCTCTGCTGTGATAGGAAGTATCACTTATTTAGTTCTTATTTTAAAGGTATTTTACGGAAGATTTGAGATGAATTTCCTTGTAGAAAGCAGAAAGTCTCTTCTCAATATGACTTCGGAGATCACTTATGCTGAAGTGAGGTTTCAAAATCAATCCAACTCATCGGATGCCAACTCAGATCCTCCTGCAGGTAAGAAACATTTTCTGGTGGTCAGAGCTGGTGATGAGATAAAGAGTAAAGGGAAGGTATTGGTGTGGCGCTGTGGGTTAATGCAGCAGACTGCAAAGTCGTTTGACTGCAAGATTGGCGGTTTAAGCTCACCAGCTGCTCCTTGGAAACTCTATACAGGGATACTATGGGTCGGAATCGATTTGACGGCAATTAACAACAATAACAACTCATCTATAAAACAAGATAGAAGTGATGTTAGCTGCTGAGTCTATGAGTGAACAGGACTAGAAACACTCAGGATTTCTATAACATTGAGTTGCTTGTCGATAGGCATTAAAGGGCTGTACGTGATAAGGGAAAAAGTCTATTATGACCCCAGCTTTAGTCTTAACTTTTGTGATGATGAATGTCACTGCAAAAGACCTCTTTAAAGTGTTAAAGAGCAAAGATGTCACTTTGAGAACTAAGGTGTACCTAACCCAGAGTAATTTTCAGTCACCTAATATGCATGTGAAAACTGGACAATGAGTAAGGAAGACTGGAGAAGAACTGATACATTTGCATTACGTTGTTGGTGAGGAATATTGAATATACCATGGACTTCCAAAAGAACAAACAAGTCTGTTTTGGAAGAAGTATGCTGGATTGCTCCTTGGAAGCAACGAGGGGGAGTTCTCATCCTTGTAATTTGGATCTGTTGTCAGAAAGGAGTAGTCCCTGAGGAAGGACATCAGTGCTTGATAAAAATGAAGGTCAGTGAAAAATAGAAAGACCCTCAACAAGATGGATTGACACAGTGGTAGCAACAATGGGCTCAAACATAGCAACAGTTGTGAAAATGATGCAGGATCAGGCAGTATTTTATTTCCGTTGTACATGGGATCACTATGATTCAGAGCCAACTTGATATCTAAGGACCATACCAACTGGTGACTATGAGAAAACTGAGGTGTGAGCCATCAAGTACTGTCCTATATGAATGAAAATGCTAATGATTCTGAGAAGTTGCATCTTCCAACACTCAGGCTAGAATTAAATAATCAGGTCCAGCTCATGAAATCATGTCTGGCTTAGACACAGAGGTTATTGATATATTACTGTGCTTTGGGTGGAGAGTGTTGAATACTGGCCTGAAGTGGCTTAATCTACAATGAAGCTTTTCTGAAATCAGAAAATCCGTTACAGATTCGATTAGAATTGGGAGTTGATGAAAAGTAATTTGGGTGGCACATGTAGTATCTTACAGACCAAAAAAGATTTTAAGAATGTATGCAGACTGCAAGAAATGATATGGAAGGGTCAGAATTGCCAGACTTTTGAAAGCAACTCTGGAAATATGGACAAACATGAAGGGAAACTTACCCCTTTAAAAACTTTATGTTATTGCTTTTATTATAAAAGAATAATGTTAATTATAGAAAACATTATCAAGTAGAGATACACCAAAATTTAAATTATACTAAATTCTACCATCTAGAAGTAACCATAATTTACATTTTAGTATATTACATCTTCCAGATGTAAATATCTATAAATATTTATATGTATGTATTTATTTTCTAAGTATGAGATCATATTATACAATACTGAGGCTTCCATCTCCCACTTGACTATATAACTTTCAGAAAGTGATTCTTAATTGTGAAATGGGAACTAAAATTAATAAACCTTATTCTAAGGAAATCAGGGATGATTATAAAGATTTATCTGCTATATCATTACTTAGGGTCCTTGGGTTGAGTGGAATCTTATCGCCATCTCCTTTCACCAGACCCATCTAGACAAGATGAAAACTATTCAGTGGAGGGTTCTACCTTCCTCTCCATGCTCTGAAACTAAACTACCTCTTGAAAACTTGTAAGCCAGTCACTAAGTGATTTTATAGCCCCCCTATTTTAAGTGAAGCTATTGTTTCTTAACATCTCCTCTGTCTAGGTCTTTAAACTTCTGAAGGTGGTGTTTCCACCTTTCTAACCCTTCTCTGAAGAATTCTGTGCTTTTTGATTTATATCACATCAAAACAGTTTTGGCATCCCCAAGAGTTTCAAATCTTGTTCCTTTTCAATGTTCTTTGAGTTTGGGGAACAAAAAGAAGTCTTTAGAGACTTTAGGGACAAGATCAGGGTTGTAGATAAGGTTAATGAGGTAAGGTTTCCCAATGATATTTTCCTAGGGCAGACCTTGCTATCTTCAAAGAACAAGCAGGTGCACTGTCACAATGGGAAAAAAATTCTCTACCCAAATTTCTTGGCCTTTTCCTCACCAATGCTGTTTTCTATTTTCTTAAAACTGGTAAGTCCCATGATTATCCTGTGTCCTTTGAGGAAATCTATCAAGATTACCTCTTTGGAATCCCCCCAAAATATTTTCCGTAATCTTTTTTTTTTTTTTTTTTTTAAAGGGACAACATTTATTCTTTTTCCAAATGTTACAGTAAAACCAGGTGGAAGAAAATGGCTTTAGCAGTTAGAAAAGAAAAGAAACAAAAACAAATCTGGGATTTGGCCATTAAAAGTTATTTACAACAAAAGTGGGGGGGGGGGATGCAAAAGAAGTTGTTTCACATTACAGACCTCTCCCACCCCCAAAGCCTAATACTTGCTTATCAAGTCATAAAAGAGACACAGTTGATTCACAAGCTGGAGGTTTTAACTTGAGTAAAACATTTATAAAAACCTAGACAGAGGCAGTGTCCTCCCCAGCCTATGGGCTACTAGGCACAGCATAAGAGACTAAAAACTCAACAGGAGGAAGGTGGGATACTGGGGGTTTGGGGAGTACCACCCCCCACTTCTGGCTCAGGGATTTGGGGAGCAGGGTAAACAAAACCTACTTGAAAAAAAGAACTGGGAATGAAAACCAGTAATTGCTTTCTGTGGGGATGAGGAAGGAGGAAGGGACAGGAACATTTCACATCACTCTAACCTAAATTGGGAAATTTTAAGGGACCACCTTCAACTGGCCTCAAGAGGAAGACCAGATGGATGATGGGAAAATCCACAGGAGGGAGAGGGGATATGTCTGGGAGGGGGCAACAGCCCCTTCCTTTCTGGGCACAGGAAGGCAGCCAGGGCACCAGGTCCAAGCAGTGACCTCACAAGGACAGCACAGTTTTTGCAGCTTAGAGATCACCCACCTGACCCCACCCAGCTACTCATTCTGCTCTCAGGCAGCTGTAGGGCCACTCTCTGGCCCCGAAGGAGTGGACAGCGCTGCAGCCTAGGGCCCTGCCTCTTCGTCGGCGTCTCCTCCCTAGGAAGCAGCACTGGCCTCTGCCCCCTTGGCCTGGGGCTCCTGGCTCTCCGGGGTGGCAGCCTTCTTCCCTTCCTAGGCAGTGCCCTCATCGCTGCAGGCACCAATCTCCCCCTGCTCCTGCTCTTCCTCTGTGGGTGAGGAGGCAGAGGAATCACCTCCACCCTCCTTCCGATTTCTCTTGAAGGACAGGCCGCTCAATTTGAAAGGCTTCTTGAAAGAGAATTTCTTCTTCTTCTTGGGGGTCTCCTAAGCAGGAGCCTCCCCCTTGGCCTCACTGCTTTGAAAGGGGGTGCTGGCTCGATGGCATCGCCGGTGGCCCCAGCTGCCTCATCTGTTCTTTTCACAGGGGGCGACTCCCCTTCCCCCTTGGAGGATAAGTCTCCATTGCTCTTCATGTGGCCGTTCTCCTGCCGGCCTCTTATCCCAGCCTCCAGCTTAGTACAAAGGGCCCCCAACCCACCTCAGGCTCTCCTCCCACACCCGACTCCCCCTGTCAGTTGGCCTTGGTGAGGGAAGCACCTGTTGCCTCCTGAGTGTTCACATCGCCCAGGGGAGCCTTAGAGCTCTGGTTACCCATGCTGGGTGGGGGTCTGCTGGGGGGCGCCCAGAGCCACCCCGGGGCTCGAGCCGCAGGGGATAGTTCGCAGGGTAGGCCCGGCCAGCAGAGGGGTGGGGCTCGCTCCTGAGGGAGGGGTGTCTAGGGGAAACCGGGCTGTTCCCCCTCTCCGCTTGCGGACCCCCTAGCCTCACCCACCGCCTCTCCGCTCGCTCGGCGCTGGAATGCCCGCCATAATCTTTTGAGGTGACCTCTCTGCTTTGAATTCATCTTTGAGGTTTTCCTGACCTTCGTTAAAACTGTAATTTTACATGGGGCTGCATTCTGTAAAATAGTTGCAAAGCTTCAATAATTTGGGAAGGTATCCACTTGAGTTTTGTTAAGAATTTGATATTAGCCTTGACCTCAGAATAATTTTCTTTCTGTGCCACAAAATGCTGTGGGTTAATGCACTGGACTGGAAAGTGGGTTTGATACACAAGGTCAGCAGTTCAAGCTCACCAGCCACTCCTTGGAAATCCTATACAGGGTTGCTGTGGGTCAGAATTGACTCAATGACACTTAACAACAGCAACAATGAGCCTAAGGAGTTCTGGTGTGGTGCTGTGGGATAAAGGACTGAAAGGTCGGTTTGAACCACAAGTCAGTGGTCAAACTCACCAGCTGCTCCTTGGAAAACCTATATAGCGTCACCATGAGTCAGAACTAACTGGTTGGCACTTAACAACAATAAAATTAAAGGGACCGTGGTGGCTTCATAGGATAAGCACTCAACTACAAGCCACAAGGTTGGCAGTTTGAGCCCATCAACTGCACCATGGGAGAAAGATGAGGTTTTCTGTTTCTGCAAAGATTTAAAGCCTTGGAAACCCTATACAGTACTGCTATGAGTCAGAATTGACTTGAGGCACTTAACAATAACAACAATAACAATGAGATGAAGACAAGTTTATTACTGAGAGAACTTGTCTGCAGCTATTCACTGATCACCGAGACATGTTTAAACACATTTTATTTGGAATAAACCCATACGTGTATGAGTTGAAATTCTAGTAGCAATACTTTTTTACTTACCCTTGTATAATAAAATAATATGACCATAATATTGTTAAAGAAAAAATATGGTGGTATGAAAATGTTTATGATATTAATAGTGTAAAAGGATATCATATATATATATATGAGCTCTGGTGGTGTAGTGGTTACGAATCAGCCTGAGAACTGCAAGGTCAGCAGTTCGAAACTACCAGCTGCTCCGCGGTAGAAAGATGAGGCTTTCTGCTCCTGTAAAGATTTACCAGCCTCAGAAACCCTGTACAGGGTCGCTATGAGTCGGAAGTGACTCCATGGCACATAACAACAACAACAACAACAAATATATATATATATATATATATATGTTTAAAATCAAAATTTGTGGTCTGTCATATCATGTGGGAAAATGTACAGTGTACATGTGTATATATATATATTTATATATTTAAAATAGTTCGAAGGAGAATATGATAGTTAAGATTTGTGTCAACTTGACTAGGCTGGAATTCTCAGTGTTTTGCCTCAGTGTTGAGATGTAGTTATCCCCATAATGAGATCTAATATAATACAGTCACCTCTATGATGAGATCTGTTATGAGCAGTCAATTAATTGAAAGGAAATTTCCTTGGTGTTGAGGCCTGCTTCCAATATATTGGACACTCAGGCAAACTTGTGGCTTTCTGCTGGGTCTGGATCCTGCATGTAGCTTGTCATCCAACTTCTGGTTCTTTGGACTTGAACCAGTAGTCTGTTCTATTGCCTGCTGATACTGGGAGTTGTCAGCAGCCATTTTACCTGCCCAAATTGTCTTCCTGTCATCTGATCTTCTGAACTTGGTTCTGACGTGAGTTAGAAGTCTCCAGCCAGACATTTGACCCATGGACTTGGGACTTGCCCATCTCTATAATTGTGTGAGCCATTTTTTTTTTTTTTTTTTGGTTATAAATTTATCTTCATATGTACATGGAAATATAAATAGATGGAAGAGAATATTAAAAGTACCATGGGCCACCAAAAGAACAAACAAATTTGTGATGGAAAAAGTATAGCCAGAATGCTCCTTAGAAGCCAAGATGACCAGACTTTTCGTCTCTCATACTTCAGACAAATTATTAGGAGAGACCAGTCCCTGGAGAAGGACATCATGTTTCGTAAAATGGAGGATCAGCAAAAAAGAGGAAGACCCCCAGCAAGATGGACTGGCAAAGTGGCAGCGGCAGTGGGCTCAAGCATGGCAACAATTGTGAGGATAGTGCAGGGCCTGGCAGTGTTTCATTTTGTTGTGCATAGGACCACAATGAGTTGGTACTGACTTGATGGAACCTAACAACAACAACAACATATAAAGAGAACCCAGCCTAAGACAGATAGGTAGCAACATGTTAGCACTAGTTACCTCTCCATGATAAGAATTTGGGTTTTATGTATTTTCTAAGGTTTCTACAAGGAACATTATTTCCTACCCATTCCTTTTTGTATTCCTATTCTCGTTCCAAATGTAATCCAAGAAGAAGAAGCAAGGGCAGAATTCATTACTGACTAACCCAATTCAGTTTCTCCTTCAGCTCCCAAAGAGAAGACAAGTCCTCAGAAAAGTAACTCTGGTTTTACCAAGCAGCTTCTTGTCTCATTGCTGATACTTCTGCTGCTATTGGCAATTTCATTCTTTACTGCTTTTATCAGTAAGTATACCATCTAAATCAATAAGGAATGTGTATCTTCCACAAAGAGAGGGGGTGTATTAGGTACTGACATTTAACAATGGGTTCATCAAAAGTCTAGAAAAGTTTCTTCTGGGGAAGACATACTTAGTGGGAGTCCTGGTATGGTGCTGTGTGTTAATGAGCTAGACCCCAAGGTCAGCTTGAATGAAGGTTGGTGGTTCAAGTTCACCAGCTGCTCTTCACACACCCTCTTCAGGGTTGCTATGAGTTGGAATTGACCCGACAGCACGTAACAACAACAACAATAGGGAGTTTTAAGGACCCCTGGTGGTACAGTGGTTAAAGCACTTTGCTGCTAACTGAAAGGTTGTTTGAAACCATCAGTCTCTCTGTAGGAAAAAAGATGTGGCAGCCAACTTTCATAAAAATTGCAACTTGTAAAACCTATGGAGCAATACTACTTTGTCCTACAGGCTCACTATGAATTGTAATTGATTAGTTGGCAAGGAAGTTGGCTTGGTTTTATTGGGAATTTACTCTTCATTTGAATTTTGTTACTTTTCTTAAAGAATAGTGGGACCCATTCTATTAAAGATATTGAAGAGCATATGCAGGGACATGTGTGTGTTGCAGAGTAAAATCTTTGGGTACTATTTCTACATTAGACATAGTGTCTGTCCATAGATTGCATGACAGTGAATATTTCATTAGTAGCATACTTAAATCCAACCCAATTTGATTACTTAAAACTTATATTTTGGGATGAGTAGATGGACAAGAAGAAACATACCCGGGAGAGTTCCCCATTGCATTTTCAACCTATTTACTTTTGTCCTGCTCAAAGCCAACTCAGCAAATAAGTGAATTTCTGCATATCTTTGACTATAAGAGGTTATACAATTTTTGAGAGATATAAAAGCCAGTATATACTTGAGTAGATATTATATATGCATTTGATCATTCAGTAAGCAGTGATGGACAGCTACTGTATGTCCGGCACCGTGCCAGCCAGGGAGGTCAGCCAGAGTCCCAGTCCTTGGTTGTAAGAACTGCAGAGAAAGGTGGTCGAGGTAGTCAAATGAACCAGTGGTTATAACATTACATGGTATTTACTGGAATTAAGTACAGAAGACTAGGATACTCTTCCTAAAGGGGTTGACATCTGGGCTCAGTTAAGGAGGGAGTGAAAAGCATGCTATGAAAAGAGTTATGTGTATATAGAGGTATGAAAGAGCATAGCAACATTTTGGGAATATAAGTAAGTATGGAAAGAACATATGGCAATGAATAACTGTGAGAGATAAAGTTTAAAATGGGAGAAATAAACATGGCTCAGATGATGAATTTGTTGTGTACCATTATAAGGCATCTGGAGTCCTGATGTGGTGCTGTGGGTTAATGCGCCAGACTGCAAAACCATTTGAACTGCAAGGTCGGCAGTTCAAGCTCACCAGCTGCTTCTTAGAAACCCTATACAGGGTTGTTATGGGTCAGAACTGACTCTATGGCACTTCACAACAACGATAACAATTATAAGGCATCTGGATTATTTTTTTCCTGAAGGTTATTATATTAATTATCTTTTGGTGCTTAATAACCCAGTCTAAATCTTGGTGGATTAAAACAACAACTTGCTATTTAATTCATGATTCTGTAGGTTGTCAGTTAGGGCTGCTGGGCTCACCTGTGACGCTCTTCTGGTCCTGACTGAGCTCACTCATGAATATGCAGTCAGATGCCAGTCATCTGGAAACTCAGCTTCTGAAGATTGGTTAAATGTTGACTGGAACAACTGGCAGTTATTCATCAGGCTAGCTTGGTCTTCTTCATATGGCAACTTTCAGGTTCTCACGAATCATAGTAGAATTAAACAACACCCTTTGAAGTTTAGACTTGGAATTGGCACATTGTTACTTCTGACTTCTGACCTATTCTATTGGCTAAAAGAAGTCACAAAGCAAGCTCAGATCCAATTGGTGAAGAAAGAAACCCCATTTCTTAATGGAAGAAGTTGCAAAGTCACATTGAAAAGTGATGTCGCTAGAGGCAAGGATGGAGAATTATGGTATTTATGCAATGTGTTGTACTCAGGTAAAGCCACTGTAGAATTTTAAACAGGGAAGTAATCAAACATGACTTATAGAAATATGCTTTTTATAGAACATGAGTATGTACACAAAATCAGAGGCAATGAGAGCAATTATAAAGTGAATTCATTAATCCAATTGAGAAAGAGTGAGAGTTTTATTTAAGGAGCGTTGACAGTGAAGCAAAATAAGGAAGAGGAGGTAGAGGTTTGATGAATAGATTTGGAGAATAAGGGACTTAGTGAAGTAAAGTATGAATTTAAGTTTCTGCTGGGTAAACTCAGAAATCAAGGAGTCATTTAAAGGGGTAGACAGTATAGGATGAGAAGCTAGCTGGTTTGGGCTGGAAGACAGTGATTTAAGTTTTGGGCAGCTCGAGTTTAAAGTGACTTTGGGGACTGCAAATGATCATGTCTAGTGCAAGACACATTCCTCTGCATTTCAGGAGAGAGACCTGAGCTTTGGAAATCATTTACATATAAGTAGCTGTTGAAGCCACACAAATATATGCTATGACTTGGAGAGGATTTAGTATGAGAAGAGGGATATAAATGGAACTCTGGGGAATGCTGCATCTAAAGAGGTGAATGCAGGAAGGAGAATTTTAAAAACAGTTTCAGAACCAACAGCAAGAGAGAGAAAGCAAAGATAGGGAAGAGTAGTGACCCAGTAGTTACAGGGAGAGAGAACTGGGATCCAGTACTCAGGGAGGTCGAATAGGAAGAAGACCAGTAAACGGGCTTTGGGTTTATTCTCTAAGAGATCACCAAAAATCCTTTGGAAGTAATGGTGGAAGCCAAAGTCAGAATGTGGTGGGTCAAGGAGTAAAAGGAAAGTAAGGAGGGATGCAAGAGTGAAAAGTCAGTTTCTAGAGTGGAAAGTAGTTTTTAATTGGAGAAACTTAAACATGTTTACATGTGAGGAGTCAAAGCTTGTTAAAATGAAGCAAGTAAGGGAAAGAGGAAGAGGATAATGTTCTCCTGATCAACACTGCTTTGTCTTTTTCTGAGTCCCCACTTTCCAAGCAAACCTAGAATTCCTCAGAGTCCTGGTGTGGCGCTGTGGGTTAATGCGCCAGACTGCAAAGCCATTTGAACTGCAAGGTCGGCGGTTCAAGCTCACCAGCTGTTCCTTAGAAACCCTATACAGGGTCACTATGGGTCGGATTCAACTCAACGGTACTTGACAGCAACAATCCTCAATAAATATACAAGTATGCTTGGCTACTTGCCATCCCCCTCGTCTTCTCTCCCCCATCAGGTTTAGCTCTTACTTGGATTATGTACTTTTGATTGGAATAGAATCGGATTCATTCTGATAGAACTGTCATGTGCTCTTTCAGTTACTGATCATTCAGCTGTTCCTGGAAGAGTCTATGGTTTCAAAATTAGTAGTTAGGATTATGTGAATGGTGGAGTGATGGGAATTTTTTTCTACAACCAGGAACCCTCTACTCAAGTAACAGGACCTTTGTAGATTGTGTTGCTATACAGAATACAAGAAAGTAAGAATCTATATCAAAAGCATACTACTACCAGGAAAGTGAATAGTCTTTATTCTCTTTTCCAGTTTTCTTTCAGAGATATTCTCAGATTCCTAAAGAAAAAACTAATGCAAAAATATTTCATGAAAAGCTGACATGTGAGAAAAGGAATTTGACTGTGGAAGGTAAAAATGAACGTGCCTATAATTTATTTATTATCTATATTATACAAGGTTCTCAAATCATATTTCCATCAAGATTTCCAGGCAGCTGACCCTAAGAAGTTGAATCGCATGATAATTTTAAGTAACAAATGTAAAAATATATAGGACCTAAAATTCATAGATGTACAACTTTAATTTGTGCAAAAAAACCAGAGGCTTATTGTGAAAAAAAGATTACCTTTTTTAAAATTTCTTTAGCCTGTACTTCCTTCTGAAATTTCTATGCACACTTGCTCTTTTTCTCACACATTGGTTAAAACATACTTTTTCATTAAATATCTGATTTGTGTTTTTTTTTTAAATATTAAAAATTTTATTTTATTCCATTAATTTCTTTTGGGACATTTCTTGTCATTTCTGTTACAATACTTATTTAATTTGTTTGATATAGATAATTTCCTATAAAATTATTTTTCCCACTGAATTATTAATTTCTTTATAAAAAATCTTTATTGTGAATTGTGTGGCGGTTTAGAGAAAAGATCATCAGTTTTACATTCAGCAAATCTTATACTTAAACTCAATGATGCAATTCACTTCATGTAACAATGGTTTTCCCACTTCCTTCCTGTGTTTCTTGCTTCCCTTCCACCCTCCTTCCCATCCCTTTTCAACTTTGTCCTTATGATCTTGAATGACTGACCATGGTGAGCATACCATACTTGGGTTGTTGTCCTCCCTGTGTACCTATCTACTGCTTGGCTGGAAATTGGGCCATGAAGGGTGACTGAGAGCCAGGCTCAGGTTCCTCTAGTCTCTTTCTGACCTGTAAGGTTGGTCTTTTTTATAATTTTGAGTTTCATTCCATATTGTCTCCCACTCTATCCAGTACCATCTAATGTGATCCCTTGCAGAGCAGTTGATAGCGGTAGATGGACACCATCTAATTCTTCTGGTCTTGGAGTTGTGGTGACTGATGTTCACATGTTCCACTGATCCAGTGGTCTAGTTGATTCCAAACATCTTCCAATGTTTAAAAAAAAATTATCAATTTTTATCTTCTTACTTCCTCACATGGAGAGATTAATCGTTGTACCTTAGATGACTGCTCATGAGTTTTTAAGATCCTAGTCACTATTCACTAAAGTAGCTGTAGAAAGAACATTGTCTTTGTGGACTTGTTAAGTGCCGTCAAGTTGGTTCAGACTCATAGCGACCCTGTATAGGATTTCTGAGGAGCAGCTGGTGAGTTTGAACTGCTGACCTTGCGGTTCAAAATGACCTTGACGTCGACTGCTTATCCTAAGGTACTATACCAGGACTCCTCTTTTTGTACTTTTTGTTGTTGTTAGGTGCCATCAAGTCAGTACCGACCCATAGCGACCTTATGCACAGCAGAATGAAACACTGCCTGATCCTGGGCCAACCTCACTACTATTGCCACGCTTGAGTCCATCGATGCTGCCACGTGGCCAATCCATCTCGTTGGGGTCTTCCTCTTTTTCTCTGACTCTCCCCCTTACCAAACATGATATCCTTCTCCAGCGACAGTGTTATGCCAAAAGACTATGGTCCTGAGCCCCCAGGGCCACCAACTCATTGCCTTAAGATGTTGAATAATATCTAAGAAGTTTTCAAGGAGCTCTGGTAGAGTAGTGGTTATGAATCGGGCTGCTAACCTCAAAGTTGGCAGTTTGAAACTACCAGCTGTTCCATAGGAGAAAGATGAGGTTTTATGCTCCCGTAAAGATTTACATTTTTGGAAACCCTGTGCAGGGTCACTATGAATCAGAACTGACTACATGGTACTTAACAACAACAACAACAAGTTTTCATCATTTTTTCCTCAAAAACAACATATTTGTATCATTTTTTCCTCTGTATGCTCCACCCTATCCATAGGTGTATTTGTCACAAAGATAAATACCCATGTATAAATATCCTCTTTCAAATCCTTATATATTTATAGGAATACAACCACATCCTTACCCATTCAGACTGTGTATCTGTTGGTGTATCTGCCCATAGAAATCTGTTGTTCTAGGTTTGTGTATTTACCAGTATTTATATATATATTTACCAGTAATATATATATATTACCTTTAAGCCTTGTCAATCTCCCTTTTCTTCTATATATTGCCATCCCTGTCTCTGGAGTTAACATGTCTACCCTTTAGCCAGTGAATTACTCTCGTTTCCTTCCCACCCATCAAAAAATGTTTCTTTTAGCATGAAAATCTGTTCCTGAATGTTTATAAGTGGTCTTACACAGTATTAGTCCTTTTGTGATTCACTAATTTCATTCAACATAATGTCCTCCATGGTCATCCATGTTATGAGGTGTTTCACAGATTCATTGTTATTCTTCAATGTTGCATAGAATTTGATCTGTTTGTGTTTTAAAACAGTGTATTGAATTTGCATAGAACATTTCTGGAAAAATATATAAAATGGTTTTTGTAGGGTTTTACCTTGAGAAACTAGAATTTAAGATGTTGGAAATAGGATGAAACTTTTAGTTTGTATCATTTAGTTTTATTTCATAATAAAGATGATTTTATTACAGATGTGAATTAATTTTAATAGGTAAAACTTTATGTACGAAAAGAGCAGAAAAATATACTTTTGGTGCAGTTACAATGGATTTCAAGCAATTATTACCTCATATTTTAACTTACTTTCCATTTGGGGACTGGGATATCATTATTCCTAAAGGAATTTCAAACATTTTTCAATAGACAGCTGAGAGTTTTGGGAAATGGGAGACGTTTTTGTTCATTAAATAATGACTGCTTGAGTAGTAGTTCAGGAAAACACTGTGATTTCTACATTCATTTTGAAAAACTTTTTATTGTGAATTGAGTGAAGGTTTACAGACAAGATCATCAGCTTTACACTGTTTCATCTCCATGTTTACAATCTCCTCAACACTACGACAATTATCCTGCTTCCTCCCTGTCGTTCCTATTTGCATTCCATAAACCTTCCTATCCCTTCTCAACTGTGTCTTTAGGAAAATGTTGCCCTTTTGATTTTGAATGATTGATCATTACATGGTGAGCATACCATGCTATCATTGTAGTTCCCGCACCCCATGAATCTATAGCTTGGCTGAAAATTGGGCCATGAGGGTGAGTTCCTTTCCAGACCTGAAGTGTTTGAGGGTCATAATCTCAAGTTCCTCCAGTCTCTTTCTGACCAGTAAAGCCAGTCTATGTTTTAATTATTACTATATAAATTTTGAGGTTTGTTCCACGTTTTCTCCGACTCTGTCTGGGACCCTATAATGTAATCCCTTTCAGAGCCGGGCACTGTATAGTTCTTCTAGTCTCATAGTTGTGGAGACTGAAGTCCACATGTTCCATTAGTCCATTGGATGGATTGATTCCAAGCTTCTTGAGTTCTTATCACTCTTCTTTCTTCTGCACATGGAGAGACCAATAGCTGTACCTTAGATGGCCTTTCATGAGCTTTCAAGATCTCAGACACTACTCACCCATGCAGGACGTAAGTAGAACATTGTCATTGTGGACTATGTTGTGCCAATTGACCATGGTGCCCCCTAGGACTATGGTCCTGAGACCCCAGGTCCATAAACTCATTGCTCTAATATGTTTGATAATATTTAGTACGGTTTCATCATTTTGCCTGCTGTAAGCTTCACCACATTCCTAGTTGTGTTTGCATGAAAGGTAAATACTCATGTACAAAATATTCTCTCTCAAATACATATTTTGGTGATATATAAATATACATATATCCCAGTATTTTTCCCTTACCCATTCAGCCTATGTCTCAATCAATATATCTATGCACAGAGCACTGTTGTTCCAAGATTGTGTATATATCACTGTTTACTTCTATTCGCTTTAGCCCATACATACCTCCTTGTGTTTTCACCTATCTTCTGACAGCCTCTTTCTTCTTGTGAAGTCCTGCCCTTTCTTGTATGTTGTTATCCCTGTAATCTGAGCTAAAATGTGCCTACATGCTAGCCAGTGAATGACTGTAATCTGAGATGAAATGTGTCTACACACTAGCCAGTGAATGACTGTAATCTGGGCTGAAATGTGTCTACACG